GCATGAATACCATATACATGGAATCATGAGAAGGAACGAACACCATGAAGTTATTCAAGTTGTGTTTGGCAGCTGCCAAAACGAGAACTAATTCCTCCCAAAAGCAATGGACAAGAACTGTCATTGCCTCAGCTAAACCTTAAGGTTTTTCTTTTCCTTTGATGCCAACAGTTTGTCCCACCTCAGAGATCAGGATATTTTGAATGCACTTGACCCAGAGGTATCTGAACATTAATTAACTAATTAAATAGCCCACCAGCAGAGATATTTTCTATGTATATTTTAATATGAAAAACTACTTCTAGTTCAGTTCTTAGGAGAAGCCTGCTATTGACAGAGTTGTTATGTCTCACTGGCAGAAGAATATGGGTCAGCTTTGAATTCTTATGTTTAAATCTATACAATTCCTTTCTGAATTTACTTATCCTATTTTGGTATCATACTTTCCTATCTTCTATGTGTGTCTGCTTTCTGCCTGTATCCATTTCTAAAGTCTTCTTGTCTCTGCATCAGCATTTATTTATGAATCTTTGTGAGTATCAGAAAATGATTTGCATACATAACTGATGAACAAAACTCTGACTAGCAGCTGGCCTTCTTTATTCAGCTGAAGCTTTATCCATTTTTGGTTGCTCCAAATGATTTTTTTTGAAGGGTACAGTGCTGGAAAAGATACTGAAAAGTGCAGGCAGAATGACTAACAAAGATGACTAAGGGAATACCTGACTAACAAAGGAAAGATGCATAATTAACTTTGGAGATTTTCTGCCAGAAGATGTGGTTTGGCCGTAGCTTAAATGGCTTATAGAAGGATCAGACAAGCTCATAAGAGTTCAGTCTTTTGAATGGCAACACATTATATTTCCCTTTGTACATAGTGCTACCATACCAATGAGTGCTAAATGCTGGAGGTAAGCTACAGGGGAAAGATTTCAACTTCTTTTCCTGCTTGCGGCACTTCAGAGCTACCATGTGGCTTCCTCTTGGAGAAAGCATGGTGGAACAAGGTTCTGTCCAGGGCCCAGTGCTCTTCAACATCTTCATAAATGGCCTGGATGAGGGAATTGAAGGAGCACTAATAAAATTTGCTGATGACACAAAGCTGGGGGAATTGCTAATACTTTGGAAGAGAGACTCAACATTCAGAAGGATCTAGACAGACTTGAACATTGGGTCCTATCCAATAAGATACAGTTCAGTGGTGCGAAAAGTAAGGTCCTGCATTTAGGTAGGAGAAACCAGATGCACAGGTACAGGATAGGTGGTACCTGGCTCGACAGCAGTACCTGTGAGAGGGATTTAGATGTCCTGGTGGACCACTGCCTAAGGTTGAGTCAGAAGTGCGGCAACTGCCAAGAAAGCCAACGCAATCCTAGGCTGCATCAACAGGGGGATAGCATCAAGACCACGGGAAGTGATAATACCACTCTATACCACGCTGGTGAGGCTGCACTTGGAGTGCTGTGTCCAGTTCTGGTCACCAAAAAAGACGCTGAGGCCCTGGAAGGGGTGCAAAGAAGAGCAACAAAAGATGATAAATCCTATGAAGAACGACTAAAAGAACTAGGTATGTTTAGCTTAACAAACAGAAGATTGATGGGAGACATGATAGCAGTCTTCCAATATCTGAAGCATTGCCACAGAGAAGAGGGCATTGATTTATTCTCCATTGTACCTGAGGGTAGGATAAGAACTAATGGGTAGAAACTCATCAGAGGGAGATCCAACCTGGAAATAAGGAGGGATTTCCTGACAGTGAGACATTAAGCAGTGGAACAGTTTGCCTCCCGGTGTTGTGGGTGCCCCATCACTGGAAGTTTTCAAGAAAAGATAGGACAGCCATCTGTCCAAGATGGTATGACGTCTCCTGCCTTGGGCAAGGCATTGGACTAGAAGACCTCCAAGGTCCCTTCCAACCCTATGATGATTCTATGACTAGATGTCCACAGTTTCTGATCCATCAAGAGGAACCTTGTGTTTTCTGCTTCTAAATGTCCTAGAGTGATACCAGCTTAGATGTAGCCAGATCCCGTTGATTTACATGCATTTTGTGTTTCAGGTCCCTCATGTCGTTAAGTATCAACCATGGAAAATCGCTAAACTGATTATTTTGTTTATTGATTATTCTGTAAGTATTGTGTTTAACAATGCTGTTCAACAAGAGGAAGAGTCCCAAGAAAGTGATTCGGGAGGGGGGGAATGTACCTGAGGTGGGGAGGGGAAAATCACAATAGACTCTTAAGGTTATCACCTGAAAAAAGGCCAGGGCTCCTGTAATACAAAGAGTTATGTGGAAGGAAGAAGGAATTTTGTCAGATATAACTGGTGAAGTTTTATTTCATTTGCCTAAATGCTATAAGGCAATGGTAAATGTTAATATTACTGTGAGCCTGCCCTGGTCATGGCTGGCCAGCATAGTGGGCAGAGCTCACTCGTTGGGCGCAGCAGGCATGCTTTCTCCACGCTCAATACCCGGGTCTAGGCTGGGGAGCACACTGCCCTTGCAGGTGCAGCTGTGGGGATGGCTGAGCTAGAGATAAAAGAAAAACCGGAAAAATTAAGAGGATCAGTGGGAAGATGCAGAGGGCTGGCCAGCGTTTGAGGGAAAAGACGTCTGTACCGATCCACTTTGAGGGTAGCTGATGGCATCACCTGAATAAGCTGTCAGGGTAAGACGAGATGAGTGAGGATCCAAAGCCGAGGCATCTGGAAAGCTAAGGAGGTGTTGGGTGCTGCTGGAGATAATACAGACGAGTGGCTGACCCTTTCTCTCCCACCTTGAGCCCTGGGCCCTCCAGCCAGCTCACTAAGCCAGTTTCTGCCTGAACTCTGGTCATGCCACCCAGGAGGGGGTGTGAACAAATGTTCCTACTGTCAGAGCCCAAGGACTAGGGGTATGGCCACACAAGGGCAGTGTACCTCCTGCCTGCAAAACCTGCCTGTCTCTGGTCAAGAGATGCCCCATACCAGTTGTACTTATGAACTTTGGGGAGTGACCTAGCTCACTCACACCCATAAAATTGTGTAAACCCATTGGACTAGGGTCCGGGGTTCGTTGCAGGAGCTGGACCTTGTATTGGACTTGTCTGTTACCAGCCCAGAAGGGCCTCTGTCCACAAGGACTTATGTTCCCAGCTCAGACAACAACTCTGTTGCACCTGGCCTGGAGGGGCCCAGTTCTGCTAAGGACATTTTAGTTATCAGCCCAGAAGGTCCTAGGTCTGCAAGGGGCTGCATACCAGCTGCCTGTCGGGGCCAGCTGGTCTGTTTCTGTTCAGGATCAAGCTGAACCTGATCTGGTAAAAGACTTTTGGGGCAAGTTGTTTTCTCCCCTTCTCTATTTTAATAAGTCTCCTTCTTCTGCAAAGACTCACCCTCTCATCATGGAGAGGGTGTCAGGGGCAGCTCACAATTATCCATAGCTTTTCATATAAGCAAAAATACCCCTGCCCTTGATTTTGCAGGCTAAGCAGGATCTGGTGTGCTTAATATTTGGATAGGAAACCACCAGAATCTCTAGGTAATGCTAGGAAAGACTCCCGACTGATACCTTAGTCAGTCAGAACTGGTAACACTGGGCTGGATGGTGTTGCTTCTAATAACTAGGGCTTAAAGGGAGAGAGGATTTGGTATTTGATGTTTTTATAAAGGAAATAAAGATCTGTCTAGGATTCAGATGACTCTCCAGAAGGAGACTGGGGGCAATATATCCTGCTAGTAGAGATAATAAATCAAAGAAATATCCCTTGGAGAAGTGAATGGAAAGACCTCCCTCTGGCTGAGTGATGTGATTTTAATGACAAGGAGAGGAGACACCTCATGAATCAAATTCTATTCCCTCTTACACTGGTAGAAATGTTTCGTTTGTTCCAAAGCAGCTCCAGAGACATCATGAGTATGACGCTTCAGCTGAGCCATCACAGACAGCAGTGGAAAAGAAACAGCTATTTGTTAGCTCAGATACTGCTGAGAGGTAAAATTCTCAGCCATAAAGAAGTCTTGCTGCAAGTAGCATCTTACCTCTAAACAGGGACTGGCAACTTTGGTAGAGCTGGGGGCCACACAGACTATTCAAAATGGCAGATGCCAAGCCTGGAGCAAAATCTGGCTAGAAGTCTTCCAGTTTTTAACAGTGTACTTTTGCTTTTAAACAGTGCAGGAGGGTCTGCAAGACATTTGAAAGGCAAATAGATGCTCCTGGAAAAAGAGGGGCTGGGGAAGAAGTGCCCCCCCCCAAAAAAAGCAGTCTTAAAAAGCCTCACATGGCTCCAAGATAGCATGTTGCCTAATTCTACTCTAAGTCAAAACATAAGTCTTGCTTCCAAGCATCCTGTTCTGTTTTTGGAAAAAGGAAGCAGGGAACATAAATCTTTGGTAACTGAGGAGTAGAGGAAAGTAAGTGTTAGCTATGTCATCTTGAATCAAGCAGGACAAACGCTGAGTGGAAACTTGCTTGCTCTATGTTATTTGTAGGCCAACTTCCATCAAAAGCAGGACAATGAGGTGGGGCTGGAGCTAAGCTTATTTACAGCAGTTCAGTTTGCAGTGCTTGTGTAAGATATTTCATTTGCAGTGGTAGCAAAAGAAGGATCTCCCTAGATGGATCAGAGCAAGAGTCAGGGAAATTAAGGCAGAATCTTACTGTCCTCTTTTTGGTATGCGGTGTGGGGAGCCAAGCAGTAGCACAGCAGCCAGGGGAGTGGTATAGGTCTGCAGAGCGGAGAAAGGGTAATTTGAAAGTGAAGTCAGAGTAAAGCCTTAAAAGCATCTACAATATCACCAAACACTGGGGAAGGGAGGGGTGTTAGCTGTGAGAAGAGGCGCTTACAAGACTGTGGAACAACATACACATGTGCTTGAAACATGGCAGGTTTGTGCACACATGTATGGTGGAGGGAAAAACTGGGCAGGGTGTGTCTTCAGAAGACAAGCAAATGGTACGTGGCTAATCATGTTCAGTGAGGGCTGGGAAGAAGAGAAGGTGGAAGGGAAGTTCTTACCACATTTGGAAAGTCTCCCAGTCATCAACTCCATACAGTTAGTGGTGTCTAGAGTATAAGAATGGAAAGAGGAGGGAGGGGAAAATATAAAAAAAGTGGTTTCCAAAACTATGTAAAAGGTAGTAATGTAGCAAAATCATCTCCTGCAGCAGAATGCATATAGGGGTTTAGCATTTCCACGTAACATTCTGGCCTTTCTTCCTTAACCTGTGCAACAGAAACCTTTTTATATCAGATGTATAGCATAAAGCAAACCTTTTCTCCACATTTCACATCCTCATACTTGTACATGCAATATCTATGTTACAACAGGTGCCTCATTTCTGGGCACTGGTAAAATCTCTCAGATAAATTTTGCAAATACTACAAAGTACCCTTAAAGGGGTAGCCTTTTCAGTCTACTTCAGCAGAAACAAACCTAAACTGAAATATTCTGACTCCTTTTCAACAGATTTAATTTCAGTGCCACCTTTTGTGGATCGCAATTCAATTCCTCAGATAAAAAATTCTGAGGTAGTAAGATTAATCCATAAAAGCTCACACTGAAATAATTTTGGGCTAATCCAGAATTGTTGCACTTCATAAGCAGTGATGACAACGGTATTTTTCCCATTGTCTGATGATATCAGGGCTCAACTGGTACCATCTATGTTTCAAACTACAACAAAAACCCAGGTTTTCATGCTTTTTACAATCACCTCCAGCATGTTTTCATTTCACTTTTTACTCACGGAACAAGACTCCTCTGTTTGAAAGCATACAATTTAGTGCTATTGCACTTACACAAACAACCACAAAAATCCAGTAGAAGATCATGCCTGTGTTTTCCTTCAGGTTTTAAGAACTGTTATTTTTGGAGGCAGCAGATTCCCAAAGCAGATGAGCATCGGATGTCTGTTGTGTGGGGATTTTCAGTTTAGTTTTATTCCGGTTTTAAAATGAACAAACACAATAATGGAGCACAAAAATCCAGGAGAAGAACACTTCTAGAGTTTCTTCTAGATTTTTAAAATAGCGACTTTTGAAAGGAGCTGCTTTCTGAGGCAAATTAGCAGTGGATGTTTATCATCATTAGAGCCTTTCAGTTTAACACTAGAGATTGGGGTATTTGTATACGAATATGAATATCAATGCATAGGTGGAAATATTGAGGGTCCGGCTCCATGGGGCCAGTCTGTCCACTCACAATTTCACCACTGCCCCCGGCTCTGCGGAGGCTTCCTATTGCGCCATTGTCCGCAATCGATTAGCCACTCTGCGACCTAGCAGAGAGGCTTATCATCCTGCCTCCTGCCAGGAACGAGTAATCGATTGCAGGCAACGGCAGGATAGGAAGGCTCTGTTGAGCTCATGTCAGCGACGAAATCGTGAGTGAACAGTCTGGCCCCATGGGGCTGGACCCTTGTTATTTCTATCTATGTGGGGATATTCATATTCCTATACGAAAACCCCCATCTCTATTTAGCAGTAATCTACTTAAGCAAAGTGGGGGGAAATGACATAGATGAAATCACAGTAGAGGTTTTTAAAGGGTTATAAAGAGTTTCTTTATATATATATGCCTAGTTCATGATTACTATTTTGTATATCTCCCCTCATGATTACTATTTTGTATATCGCCCCTTTCTTTCTTTCTTTTAGTATCAAATGAATAAAAATAAAATAAGCATTTCTTCATTTTTTGGGGCAAGATTTTTGATCCATTTCTGAAACAGACACCAATATTTTAAGAGAGAAATGGGATGGTGTAAACAGAAGTCCCAGTAAAACCTGTTTAAACCAGGACAAAGCAGGGAAGAACAAATGCTCCATCTGCTTGAGTTCTTAATTAATCTTAAAGGTGCCACAATATTTTGGTTGTTCCTGTTTTATTTTTGTTATACAAACAATTCAAAGGAGGATCAATGAATAAAAGCAGTCATTTAAATGTGATTCTCAGGATTCTGCTGGGTACATCTGAAAGCTGAGGGGATAATATATGTTTTGAGTGTTTACCACATACAACTAACATTCACCATAGAACACAGATACATGAGAAGCTATTTGCAACTGTACTAACACAAGACATCCTTGAAAAGGTCTAATTAGCTAGTTCATATGCATGAATCCAGTATGATGATCTGAGCATCATACCAGTAAAATGTGAGCAAGGTATTATCCTACGTACATTCAAGGTACCACATTATCTTTCCCAAAAATTATAATTCTGGGATTGTAAATGCTAATATGTATAAGGCCTTTCCAAACACCTAATTTATTTTATTATCCATTAAATTGATTTCTTAATGGGAAACTTCCACCTTTCCTAAACATTCAAGGAGACGATCATAATGGGAGGAAACACATAAGAAAAAAAATCTAAGTAACTCTTCTTCTGAGGCAACCGCTTCCATAAGCAAAGGCAGATGTGGGCAATTTGTCCCTTCACTTATGCCCTTGAAATTTGTCATGGCAGATTGGAACAGATGCAAAAGCTGCAGGAAGGATGTGAGGAAGTCTCACTGCACAGCAGACGTCCTTTCATGCAACACTGGATTCTTTCAGTATAATTGTTTAAAAGACATTCCTCACAAATAATTTACTTCTAGAATTTAAAAAGTGCTGGTCACCATTAAGTGGCAGAAGTGCTATCACCACCCCACCTCGTCACCCAACCACACCCTTCATTGCTATCATGTCATATAGATTTGCGGCTAGCCCTGGCTCATAGCTGGGGAGCAGTCCCTGTCCTCTTCCTGTTGTGGTCTCTGAAAGAAACAGAATGGCTCTGCTGGAGATGGAAGGATACAATCTGCTTGATGCTACAACAGGACACCATTCAATAGGTTCCTCAATACCAGGACAATCATGGTAAAAAAAAGACTGTGATGGGTATGCTTGATGGCGCAAGAACACATTTTGATACCAACTTTGTAGTCTAGGGCTTCTAAACATCTATCTGGCTCACAAAGAAAACCCTCATAGGTAAGGCTACGGACACACCAACTTTTTTTTTCTGCCCATGTCAACTAAAATGCTTCTCCACTTGGGACTTTAGGTCTTGAAGGATTGTACTTCTGTGATGGGCCTGAAGGAAAATTAAACCTATGGGCCCACTTAATAAAATGCTATATTATTCATAACAACCCTGACAATGCCCATTGCCACGGGGAACATCCTAAGACATTTTTACTTAGAAATATGTCACATTCAGCAAAGGTTCTGCTTCAGTTACAGTTAATTCTCCAATTAGCACACGTTTGAGTCTTGCTACAATAGATTAACATAGTCATTCTTCTAGAACTTAATCCTGGTAACGTGTCATCCAAACATAACATCAAAGAACTAAATTCCATTTCATTTGATCACATGGGGGAAAATGTGAATAGGTCCATGAGATACTTGCAAAAGAAATCACATCAGCACACTGTAAAAGAGATACTATTCAGCTTTTTTTAAACTATTCTTTAGTTTTTGACAGTTGTGAAACTACAGTATTTCTAGGTCAAACTTCACCTTACACTAAAATGCCTCTAAGAAAAACCAACAGCTTTTTTAAACAAAAAAAGAGAGTTTAGAATAGTTATGTTTAACTCTCTTTCCATTTGTCACAATTCCCTCTCACTAGTAAACCTTCCATTCTGTGCGGTAATAAATATATGTTTGCAAAGATAAAAGCAGAGATTAAAGAGGAATCATAGTATCTCAATTTAGTATCAACTGAATCTTTTAAAAGCATATTTGGAAACTTCTTGGGGAAAAAGTGTAGGCTTTTCAACAGTGTTGTGAAAGATCTAGATAAGTGACTTCATGATTAATTTCCATCCTATATTGTTGGTGTTGCAGGAATATAATGCAATAAAATCCCTGAAGCTAATTTCTGGAATAGATTATTCCTAATGCTGTTATTTAATTTCTAGATCTTTTAGTTTAGCATGATTATATTAGTGAAAACAGCACTTGTTGCTGTGATATTGCATGACCCAAGAAAGAGACCCTGGTAATGTGTGGCCCAATGTGGTGGATGGAAAATTAAGAACCAAAATGTGGAGAGCAACTGCAGGCAAAGTGCTCCACAACTATTCCAAGGATCTCTGGCTTCTCATTATGGGCTAGAGGCCACCCTGTCGAAAATTATGGGGCTTATATGTGTGTAAGGGGGCAGGAAACATACCCCTACAAAACTGGTAAAAATAACAAGGACACACTCAATGGCCTACTGTGCACATGTGAAAAACAACCCTGATCTAGACCAAAATGGCAGAAATGTCTAGATTATAGATAATACATCTAGAAAGCAAATCCATAAAAAATAGCTCAGGGCAGACAGCAGAAGCTGCTGTATTATTATTCTTTATTATTGTTTATTCAATTTATATGCTGCACACATAAGAGTGCAGGTTAATTTAATATTCCAAACTAGTAATGTCAATAATACTGTTTTTGAGTATGGCAAGCAGCATAGAAACAATAATGTGCCTTGATGTTTGAAAGTGTGAAAGTTGGACAGTCAAGAAAGCTGACAGGAAAAAACCTGATTTGTTTGAAATGTAGTGCTGGACAAGAGCTTTGTGGATATCCTGGGCTGCCAGAAGGATGAACAAGTGGGTCCTAGATCAAATCAAGCCTGAATGATCTCTGGAGGCAAAAATATTAAAAATGAAGTACATCATGAGAAGGCATGATTCTCTAGAAAAGACAATGATGCTGGGAAAGGTTGAAAGCAGCAGGGAAAGAAAAAAAATGACCAAATATGAGATGGAAGCCACAAGCTTGAATCTGCAGGAACTGAGCAGGGCTGATGAAGACAGGATATTTTGGAGGTTGCTCATTCATAGGGTAGCCATAAGTTGGAAGCTACTTGATGGCACATAGCAAATTGCCTTGCTTACATCTCTCAAAATTATTGAACTCTAGTTTCTGGGCTTGTGATTTCATTAAGCACCAGCCACATTCTGGCATCTCTTAAAATTATGAATTAGCAGAGATGGTTGAATACAGAAGATGTCAGAAAAGGGCTAGTTTATTTAAATGTTGGGGGGGGAGCAAAGCAAAAGGAAAGGTATGTA